GCCCGAGCCGGAGCACGCGCGTCCGGAACGCGCCGAGCGCCGGCCTGCGCAGGCCCCGCCGTACCTGGGCGCCCGCGCGAATCAAGTGCAGAGATGCTGAGCCGGGAGGAGGGTAACGGGGTGCGGGGCGAGGACTTGTGATCCGGCATGAAGTTCTCAGATGCGGAGCCCCGCGCTCGGGGCCCTGGTGCTGAGCGTGCCCTGCACGAGGCTGAAGATCGCGTTTTAGCGCCGCGTAACGGGACCTGCTCAGGAAGCATCTTTGCTCTGCCCTGCGCCCAGCCCTGGAGCCCGGCCCATGCTGATCCTAAGTGCAGCCAGATTTGTCAGGAACACAGACGGTGCTCTCTGAAATACGTCTCCTGGGTGGCACCAGGAGGGTTCCCGCAGACCCTCTGCTCCCCCTCCGCTCTAGCTGTGCCTGAGCAGCACTGGATCGTGGTCCTTGCCTTCCTTGTCTAGAGACAGGGGTTGGGGCGCGGAGATGACAGACGTCCAGGGGACCCTCAAGGGGCTCCCGGCCCCCAGGGTGACAGGTGCCCCCTGAGACGCTGACTGTACCGAAGCAGCGAGATGGTGTCCTGAAGCTCAGCACAGGCAAAGGTGTGAGCTGCACGCGGAGGGGAGCACACTGAAGGCAGCGGGGAAGGAGGAGCCTGGAAAACCATCCCCAGAAGTTCTGGGAGGCGCCTGGGCAAAGTGAAATCCAGGCCAAGGTCAAGGCCAGCAAGTTCAGACCCTCCTGACCATCTGCCCGCTGCGTGGCCCTGCCAGAGCGTTAGTGTTCCCACCCCTAAAAGAGGGAACCAGTGCCTGCTTTGCCCTAGAGTGGGAAGTAGGTTCAGACGGCTGGCTCGCTAAGATAACTTGAGGAGAAGCCATGGGAAGAGGGTTCAGATTGGACAACGCTGAGCCACTTCGGGAAAGGCATTAATAATCCTGAACACAATCCAAGTGCTCACCAGGTGCCAAACACTGTGCCCACCTCACGCAACTCTCAAAACTGCCCTTTGAAGCTTAGCATGAGTCCCTGGGGCTGGGAGAGTAGAGGAATCCACCTGAGGTCATGTAGACTGGGTGGAGGCAGAGCTGGACATGAACTCAGTTGTCTGACTGCAGGGCCCAGGGGCTCGCCCGTTCCAAGCGGTGGTGTTTTCACCCGTGTAATGGAATGAGCAGCTGTTGCTTTGCTCGGTTATGGTGAGGCTCAAATGAAATGGTGCGTGGGCAGCACTCATAGTACCCAGGAGAGAGCTAACTATCACCTTCCTTGCTATCACTGGCATAATCATTGTGGAGCACAGAGCAAAGGAATTCCCCAGCAAGCCTGGGATCTGCGGTTTAAATGGAACGCTGAGGGAAGGGGGAATAGCTGAAGGGTGGGGGTCCTGGTGGCGCTAAGCCGCACTGTGCCGCGTTCAGATGCTGATCCGACTTCTCCTCTGTAAGTGCCTCTCGGACAGCACTGTCTTCATCCATGGACAAAGTGAGGCCGAGCATGAACTCGGCTCCCTCCATCAGCGCCTGATCGGTTTGCTAAAGCGGGAAACTCTGGCAACCCTGACAGGACCTGTTCTATTTTATGGAGCATCACCTATGACAACAGAAGATGTCATTCCCTGGGGCATGCTGTTTTTGGAGTCAGGAAGGCCTGCCTGCTCTTCCTGCTGTGCAACCCTCAGCACGTCATTTAACTTCTGACCCTTTAATTTCCTCATCTGTAAAATGGGAATTAGAACATTATCTTCTGGAGTTGAGAGGACTATGCAAGGCCATGAATTATTAGTGGTCCATTAACCGTGTGTTTTTGTTTCAGTGTTAGAACCTGAATCTCACATGGCACAAGTGGTCCTCACATCTTTCAAGCAAAAACTGCAATTTCCTTGATATGAGCAAAAGCCCGGTAAAAATTCACCTCTAAAATGCTTTTCCCTTGTGAAATGAAAGGAAAATACTCAAAAGTAAAGGGCAACTGGGATGTGGGAAAAGAGAAGTGAAAGAAGGGGAAATTATGTAAGTATGTATATTCAGGATAGCTAACATAGTTGTACTACTGACTTCTATTGCTCTACAGAAAGGAACAGTTAATGATTATTTGTTTGATCAATCTTGTATGTCTCTAATTGTTTTCCTAAGAAACCACTTTGAAGATATCAGTAAGTAATACAACAACCATGCTTAATTTCCTACAACTTTGTATGTAACTCTGTTTTGTTTGTATTCTTCTTATGCTGTTTTGTAAATGGATGTCTGTCTGTTAATATGTTTTCCTTCTTTTATTTTTTAAAATAAAAAAAAATAAAATAAAATGCTTTTCCCTGCTGACCATCATAGCAATGAGTGCTGTTATGTGTGGAAGGTAAGAGAGGTAGAAGACGAGTGAGTGTGTCCTTCTGGGGAGTGTTTTGCAGCTCAGCAGACCCCCACATCCCTTCACAATGACAGCAAGCTCTGGGACAGCCTAGCTGCCCTCCAGCCTCTGCACCCCAGCCACTCAGGACCCAGACCTGGCCCAAGCCAGCAGGGGATGCCCTCCCCAGTGGCAGCGTGGCCGTGCAGAAGGTGCCAGCAATGGCTCAGCTGACCGTCAGGCTGGGGGTTGCTGAATGAGGCAGAATGATTTGCCCTGATGGGGAGGCAGCCTCAAGCCAGAGGGGTCCTCACTGAGATACAAAGCACCCAGGGCTTCCAAACCGTGAGTGAGTGATTTCCAGCCTGGAAGTGGGGAGATTGGGGAGTAGTACTTAATGGGGTACACGGTTTCCTTTGGGGGAAACAAAAATATTTAGGAATTAAGCCGGGTGTGGTAGTGAACACTTACGATCACAGCGCTAGGAGGCTGAGGCAGGAGGGTCACAAGTTCGAAGGCTGGGCAACTTAGCAAGATGCAAATATTACCCTGATACCAAAACTAGAGAAGGACCCAACTAAGAAAGAGAACTACAGGCCAATCTCCCTAATGAACATAGATGCAAAAATCCTCAGTAAGATACTGGCAAACAGAATGAAGCAAATCATCAAGAAGATGACACTCCATGACCAAGTGGGATTCATCCCAAGAATGCAGGGATGGTTCAACACATGTAAATCAATAAATTTAACATGATATTCACAGAATCAAGGACAAAAATCATGATCATCTCAATAGCTGCAAAGCTTTTGACAAAGTCCAACACCCTTTCATGATAAAAGCCCTACAGAAAATCGGAATAGATAGTCTTTATATTCATGTGATGAAAGCCATCTATGACAAACTCACAGCCAACATCATACTAAATGGACAAAAACTGAAAGCTTTCACTCTGATGTCAAGAGCAAGGCAAGGATGTCCACTGTCTCCACTCTTATTCCACATAATCCTGGAGACTTCAGCCAGAGCAATCAGACAAGAGAAAGAAATAAGAGGAATAAGAATAGGAAAGGAAGAAGTTAAATTATCATTATTTGCAGATGACATGATAGTCTACACAGAAGACCCCCAAAACTCCACTAAAAAACTGCTAGATTTAATAAGCCAGTTCAGTAGCGTAGCTGGAGGAAAAGTCAACACTCAAAAATCTGCACACTGTGGCTTATTTCCTCAGCCTTCCTGCTTCCCTGTACACAAACTCACTGACAGAGAAATTAGGGAAACAACACCTTTCATAATAGCATCCAGAAAAATGAAATACCTAGGAATCAGCCCAACACAGGATGTAAAAAACCTCTACACTAAAAACTAAAGTGCTCTGAAAAAGGAAATTGAAGAAAATAGAAAAGATGTCCCTTGCTGTTAGGGTAGGAAGAACCAATACAGTGAAAATGGGCATACTTCCAAAACTGTTATACAGATTTAATGCAATTCCATTAAAATTCCAGCAGCATATCTCACAGAATTAGAGAAAACAACCCTGAAATTCATTTGGAACCAATCATTGACAATAAGTACTAAACACCTTTCACTGGAGGAAAGATAGCCTCTCTCATAGATGGTGCTGGAAAACCTGGCTCTAAGCATGCCGAACATTAAAATTGGACCCATATCTTTCCCCATGCACTAAATTAAATTTGAAATGGAGCAAAAATCTAAATATTAAAACAGAAACATTAAATCCACTGGAAGATAGAATAGGTAAAACCCTTGAAGACATTGTGTAGGCAAAGACTTTATGAATAAAACCCCAATCTCACAAGACTATCACAAAGAATCAACAACTGGGATCTCATCTTATTAAAAAGCTTTTTTGCACAGCAAGAGAAACCACCCACAGAGTAAAGAGGCAACCCATAGCGTGGGGGGAAAACGTGTGCCAGCTGCTCCTCAGACAAAGCATTACTATCAAGAACATATAAAGAACTCAAAGATACCAGACCTCCCAAATTTAAAGACCCAATCCAAACATGGGCATCTGAGAGGAACACACACTTCTCAGGTGAAGAAATACAAACGGCAAATAAATATATGAAAAAGGTTCAACATCACTGGTCATTCGAGAGATGCAAATTAAAACAGCACTGAGATTTCACCTCACTCCAGAAGGAATGGTTATCATTAAGAAATCAACCCATAACAAATGCTGGCAGGCCTTGGGCAAAAACGAACCTTTTTCCACTGTCGATGGGAATGTGGACTGGGGCAACCACTGGGGACTGGAAATCAGTGTGGAATTTCTTCAAAACTAGATTTGGAGGTCCCACTTGACCCAGCTATTCCCCTTCTGAATATCTTCCTAGAAGAATTAAAAACATCATAGCACAGTGATATATATGTGCACCCATGTTTACAGCAGCAGAATTTGTAAAAGCTAAATCTTGGAAACAACCCAAATGCACATCAACCAAGGAATGGATAAAAAAGATGTGGTCTTTTTATACAGTGGAGTACTACTTAGCCATAAAGAAGGATAAACTGAAGACTTTAGTAGTTAAAGGGATACAACTTAAGACCATACTCAGAAGTGAAATAAACCAGATGCACATGTGCAATCTTCCTATTGTCTCCCTAGAGTGAGAAGCTGAAAGAGTAAATAAGATCCAAAATGTACAATAGATATGGTGAAATGGGAAGAAACTATTCAAAAGGAAAGAGAAACTGGGATGGGGGAAAGGAGAAAAGAAGGAAGGGAAAAGCAAAAAAATATATATACAAGATAGCTAAGATAGTTATACTACTAAGTTCTCTTCATTCATTGCAAAGAAAGGTTTGTGCTAACATTGTTTGGACAATGAAATGCTGTTATCTTGTACTCTGAGTAACTAATTCAAAGATAACACTACGCAATGTGTTCACCATTGTTACC